ATAATTTTTATTTTTTAATTATATAATAAAAAAAGGTAAGTTAACTTATAAACGTAAAAAGTTATAACTTTTAAAAAAATATATTATTAACTTTTAATAAATTTATTAAATTTATTTTTAATAATATTTAATATCATATAATACAAAATTATTATATAACTTTAATTATTATAATTTTTATAATTGTCTAAAGTACAAGAATAATTAATTTCTATGTTAAATTAATGTAATGTCATTTTATTTTGCATATTAATTAATCAATAGAATTCTACGTTGCTAGTTATATGTATTTCACAAAAATTAAATATTAAAAAAATTGAATAAATTATTGATTTTTATTATAAGTCTAGTTATGCTTCAGACTAAAATAATTACTGTTCTCTAGTTTATTAAAAATTTTATAACTTTTATTAATAGTAAAGTAATTAATTAATTTACAAATATATAAATTTCAAAAAAATATAAACATAATTTAAAATTAAATTATTTTAAAAACTTTTTAATATACTTAAATATTTCTAATAAAATTAATAAAATATATATTAAATTATATTTGTTTATATAAAAATTATATTACTAAAATTAAAATTTTATATTTTATTAAGAATTAATACTTTTATTTTAATTTTACAGATAAATTTAATAATTAAAAAATTTAAAAAATAATTTTAGTCTAATAAATATATAGTTATGATTAATATTTAAAAATTATTAAAAAATTTGAAATTTATTAAAATATAAAATTATAAAGATTTAATTAATAATATAATATTATTAATAACAAATAATAATTTAAATAATATATTATTCTGAAATTAGATAACCTTTTTTTGTTATAGAGTTGTTTAATTTAGGTACTTTAAAAAATAAAAATTTAAATTGAATTTTAAAAGAAATTTTGATTTATTCGATCATGATTTAGAAATGTTAGTTTATTTGATAGAAATTTGTACATTTAAATAATAATATTATAAAAATCACTTGTGAAATATAATAAAATATTACAATTAAATTTAATTATATGTAATAATGATAAATTATGAGCTCGTTGATATACTAGTTTAAAAATTACATAAATACTTCCTTAAAATAAGTAAAAATATTTAAATGCTATTAAAAAAAATAATTAAGTGATGTTACAATTCATATATCATTAAGCAAAAAAGACAAATTGTTACTTATATTAAAGAAAATGAAATAATTAGAGTGGTAAATACTTTTAACTTAATAAAGATATAGTTAATGCTAGATTAAGTTAAAAAAATAGATAGATAAACTGAACTAAAATAGTAAACGAATTGCTTCTGGTTGAAAATGTTTTTAATATCATTTTTTTTTATACTTTAATTATTAATTATATTATTAATAAATTTAATTAATTATAAATTAAATTTGTGATATTATTATATTAATTAATTATTATTTTATTTTAATATTATATAAAAAAAATTAATTATTAAAAATATTAAAATAATCTATATCAATTTTATTAAATAATTATTTATTTATAATATAGAAAAAAGACAAAACCTTTTAATAACAATCAAAATTTTGATAAAACTATATTAAAATTATAATAAAAGATATGATAAAATTCTTTTAATATAATGAAAGATAAAACTGTCAAAATTGTATTAAAATATAAAAATGATATAATTTATTTTAAAAAGATTTTGATAGGCATATATAAGTTATAATATTTTTTATGCTTAATACCTAAATATTAAATAAATATTTCTAATTTATTCTAATTTTATAAAGTATTAGTTAATATTATTATATATAATTTATTTAAATAATATTTTTTTATTATTTCTTATATTAAATTTATATTGATAGTAAAGTAAAGCATTTGATAAATTTTTTTTAAAATATTAAATTAAATTTAAAAATAGTATAATATTTTACAATAGGTAATAAAAATTAGATATATAAATTTCATATTTAATACTAAATAAAAATTATAGATTTTAGTTATATAAAACTATTTACATTAACTTTCTTTTTAAATTAAAATATTTACAAAGTCAAATATAGTTTATTTTTTCAATTAGCATTATATTGTTCAATATTGTGTAATAATAATTTAATACAGTACAAATTTAAGTTTTATAATAATATTTTACTTTAGGATTAGTAAATTTAATGATATTTATTTTTTAGTAAATTTATTAATTATACTACTTTTTATTATTATTATTATTATTTTAAGTAAAAAAAAATAAAACTTGTTTTTCAATTTTAGTAAAAGTATTATTTTTTTTTTTTTTTTTTTTTTGAAAGCATTCGATATTGAATAAATATATAAGAAAAAAAAAATGCTATGAATTTATATTTATTTACAAAATATAAACATTTTAAATTTTTTATTACAATATTTCTACTTTTGGTATTTAATATATTTATCTCAAAATTAATATTAAAATCAATAGGAATGATGTTATACGTAAATAATAAAAATTATTTCTAATTTGAAATACTGATATCATGTGACATATAATAAAATAAAAAATTTTCTTATAATGACTTGAAATCAATGCTTTAACGTTAACATAAAAAGGGTTTCAAACTTGTGACACTCTATTTATTTTGTTTTATTTTAAAACTTTTTTTTTCTTTAATTCTATCTACAGTATCTACAGTTTAATAGTTTACAACACCATACAAAAATAATAGTATCTAAAACTATACAAAACATTTCTCGATTAATATTTATTATATATGTGATATCATTCCTAATTCAGCATTTATCATAAAAAAAAAAAAAAAACAAAAAAAAAAAATTTTTTTTTTAATAAGCCAGAAGCACGTTCTTTTGATAAATGCTGATTATAAAACCCACCTGAGAGTTCAGATCCAACCAAGTTGGTCGAAGAACTCCCAGAGCTTGCACGCTTTGTTCACGTCAAAATTAACTAAGCGTTGTGCGTCTACTTTTTTAAATTTTAAATAATCTCTCCGGGCCTTCCCGGCGCCACGGAGGATTGCAAGTTTGCCTCTTAAATATTGTAGAGGTGGCATTCTTAACTTGGAGCAGAGTTCCCACTCTTCTTTATGAAGTAGATTGGCTCCTTCTAGTTCCTTGATTTCAAGTGAAGATGAACCCTTCTTCCACGTTATCTTAGGGCTCGTAAAGTTCATTGTTGAATGGTCAATATCCAGTTCATTGATTTGGACTTTCAATTCTTCGAGTCTTAAGACAAATGGATTTTCTTCCTTTTTTTCGACCTTCTTAACCTCTTTCAAAGTTTTCGATAATAGCTTTGGGTTTCTTTTATAAACATCGTAAATATTAACCCGAATTACATAGCCATCCTCCGACGAAGAGTTGGGCGCTCTTTGTGGATATGGTTGCTTTCTGAGCGATCGTCTGTTATTGCGTTGATGTTGACTACATAGTTGTGTAGTATTATTGGCCATTATCGGGGAAATGTTGTTTGATATTTGTATATCATTCATAGTAATTGCGGGGTTGCTTGAAGAAAGAGGAACTCTATTATTAACGATGTTTTTGATTGCGAATTCTGAAGGTTTGATCTTGTCAAGAATATGTTGAGGAGCTTCAGCTAATATCCAACGGACTTTACTAATGCTATCATTGGCGGCGTTAGGGAAGTTAACCTTTTCAAGGATATGTTGAGGAGCTTCGCATAATCTCCAACGGACTCTTGTGTTGTTAGTTCTAGTCTTGTTATTTAAAGGAACTGCTTTATCATTAATAGCCTTAGTAGTCGAAGTAGCTACCACTACACCGTTTCTATTCTTATTGACCAAAGGTGAGGTGCTCGTTTTAGTCTTGTTAACCAAGGGAGCCATGGAGAGACGATATCGTTAAGTTAAATATATTAGAGAAAAAATATATTAACAATTTTGAGGGAAGAATCAAAATTTGTTTAGGAGAATAAGTAAACAAAGATGTGAAAGGGAATTTAAAAAGATGAGAAGTATTCTTTGGTTTTTTTTGGGGGAAGAAATTTTAATGCAAAAGGTAACTTAAGTTATTTCAAAATCGAAAAAAGACGTTTGTTTGTATTTGAGAGCATAAAAAAAAAAATTTTTTTCGTCAGGGAAGTTTCATTCGATTTCTATGATTATGGGATGGATCATTTGCATCTCAAAATATGTGAGAATTTGAATGAATTGAATGAATGAATTTGAATGAAATGTATTTCGAAATTTCAAATTTTATAACAAAAAATTTTTTTGTGATTGGAGGATCTGAAGGGTAGATGGAATGACGGATGCAACCCTGAAAATAATTTTTTAAAGTTTTCTAGAATCATTCTCCTTAAAATGATAAATTAGGATAATCAAATTGTACGATAAATGTTATATTACTGAATTTGACTAAGTTTCTAGTTAATAACTCATTGTTTGTTTATGCAGTAATACATCCACATTTGATTCTATCAAATGTTTAATTTCCGAAATAGACGTAATAAGCTCTAATTCAATTTCTTTTTGGGAAAGTTTACGGGAACTTTACAAAGCCGCAATTTCGTATAACCTCCTGCATTTAATTTTTTTCTTTTTTTTCTTTTTTTTTTTTTTTTGGTTCAAGAATTCTCATAGTCATGCATGCATTTGTCTTGAACACATCGAAAAACCGCGTCAAACAACAGCTCAACACGGATCGAGTTAATACAAAATGCATTCCTAAATATATGAAATTAATCAAATGCCGAGTATCTATCCGAAATATTCAATTGTTCACCGATTGACACGTAAAATTACAATGAAATCTAACTATTGAACGCGCACGTGACGGCTGCGTTGCTAAATACGCACAGCATTTATTTGTTGACCTATTGATCTAGATGAATGCAGTGCATACTAAGACAAATATAGTAAAACGTCAGTATTGTACCCGAGTGCTTTACATCAGATTAATGCTTTATCATAAATCTCGTAGATCGTTGATAAAAAAAGTTTGGTAAATCAAAATCAGATAACTAATTTCTCTCTCAATTTCCTCTCGAGAATAAAAATTTTAAAAAAAAATGTCGGTTGTTAAAGGAATAGCTGCACCACTTGAAAAATATGACGGGTCCTCATTACGTATTCTAATCGTACATACACGTTGGAATTCTTCAGTTGTAAACGAAATAGTAAAAGGGACAATTGACACAATGACTAAGGAACATTCGGTTAAATCCGAGAATATTACTATTCAAACGGTTGCGGGAGCATTTGAATTACCATTTGCGACCCAACGTCTTATCGCAGCATCAAGACTTCAAGCTACTCCAAATGCAGCAGAATTATTTTCAACACTAGGAGAGAATACTGGACCTCCACCCATTAACTCCCAGACTTTTGATGCAGTTATTTGTATTGGAGTATTGATTAAAGGTTCTACAATGCACTTTGAATATATCTCAGAAGCTGTCAGTAATGGTATTATGAGGGTCGGTTTGGATTCTGGTATTCCTTGTGTTTTTGGTGTTTTATCTTGTTTAACCGATGAACAAGCATTGGAAAGAGCTGGTTTGGGTGTAAGTGAAAAAAAGCATAATCATGGAATTGATTGGGGACACTGTGCTGTCGAATTAGCCATTAAAAATCGTAGATGGATTACTGGTGAAATTTGATTTCATTTAATTTGTGATTTTTTACTAAGCAGATTAGTTCTTTTTCTTTTTTTTGATAATTGATTTCATCATTTGTACTGTATAATCTCAAATAAATAATTTATCTTTTGTTCCCTTTAAAAGAAACAACCTTATTATTAAATTCTTCATTTCTTACATCACATTCTACTTTTTTTCTCGCCTTTCCATTCTATTACAACACAAAATCTGATAAATTCCTATAATTTCATTTAACGTTGCGTGATTTCTTGAGATTCATCCACGTCAAAATTTAAATGTGAATGTGAAACTATTGATTAACCTTTGAATTTAATTTAAGTCAATTTTAGCAGTAGAAATCCAAGTTGACTTAAGTATCATATTATCAAAATCTTTAGGTTACAAGATTTTGTCACCATTAAGAATTTTCATATGATCTAATCTGTTATTACGCGAATGTTTAACAATTTCATATCCGATATATATCTAATATTTTTTATTTATATAATTCAATTATCCAAAAGGTTCTTGCTAATACGAGGACAAAAAATTTTGATGATAAAAGTGAGTGATAAAACGGACTCTGATCAATCAATCTAAGGCGCTCGTCAAGGGTCTCAGGACGATTACCCATAAAGCTCAGACGCAAGAAAAGTCGACATTTTTTTTTCGTCCACGAATTTCTGTCTTCCACATCATCTTACTAATTTTGCGATCTTGCATTTTTTTATTATTATTAGAACTGACGTGCTAATAAAAATAAAAAACGAATAATTCACAAAATGTTTTAACCTACAATTTATGGTATTCGTCAGCAAAGCTTTATACAAATAAACAAGAATTACCAAGAGGGAGGGGGGTCAGTTATATAATGTAATTTTTCTCTGTTTAACATAAAATCGAACAAATTGCCAAATTTTTGTTTAATATTTATTTCAATAATGGTCCTACATAAACAAACGTTTTAAAGGGCCAACATCTATTTGCATAGTAAATTAATTAACGTTCCTTTTTCTATATAATCAGGTTTCAACAATCAAAGCCATGATCATGATGGAGATCAGTGGAAGAATAGTACCGGATTATTTGAACTAACTTGATTATGCTTATCAGTCAAGGATGTCACTTTCTTTTTAATTATTATTTTAGGAATTTGATGATAAATATAAAAACTTTTGAATATAGTTTGTAAGAGAAAATTGAAAAAAAAATTAGAATACATAGTTACTTATCTAGATATTTCTAACAATACTGATTTCTATTATATTAAAAAATCATGAATTTAGATTTATCTGATCAGATAATTTTATTCTAATCTTTAATTGTTCATGTTTTTGTAAAATTTAAATATAACTTTTAATATTCTTTCTTAAAATAAGATTTTTTTCTCTTTAATTTAAAAAAAAACTATTTTTATATAAAATTTTTTTATTATATATTTATTAATATTAATATTATTATCAATTTTTAATTTTTTTGAATATTTATTATAATAGAATATTCTTTAGTTAAAATTTGTTTAATAATACTTTGCTTATTTTATTTAATTAAAATTTGTAAATGTTTTATTTCTTTTAAAAAACCAGTAATATTTTTTTTCAGCTAGATAATATTAAATTGGTTAATATTTTTATAAAAAGTAAATATTATATAATTATATTTTTCTTAAAGAAGTATATAAATTCTATTTTATTTTTCAAGAAACAAATAATTTATTTTAAAATAATAAAATTTTTATGAAAAAAAAAAAATAAAAAAATTTATTAATGAGAAAAAATAAATTGATATTTTAATGATTTTTTATATGAAGATCTGTATAGTAAAAGCTAAAATTATATTGATTACATAAAAAAATTCAAATTTAAATTAATCAATTAATATTAATAATTATTATAAAAAAAAAAATAGTTTTTTTATAACATAGATTGAATTTTGCATATATATAATTAAAAATATTAAATTTTATTTTTTTTTTTGATATAATTTATTAATTTAATAATAAAATTTGTATATATATATTCTTAATAAAGTTAATAATTATTTTATAAAAAATAAATATTCTGATAATCTTTTAATATTTAAAGTATTAAAAAACATAATAATAATGTAATATTAATAGCATTAACAATAAATGAACAAAAAATAATCTTACTTTATTTTTCAAAATAAGCAATATCATAAAAAAGTAACTTAATATAAGATGAAATTTCTTTATATAATTTCTTTTATCTTTTTAAAGAAAGTGATTTAATATTAATTATAAGAGGTAAAATATTAAATTAAAAGAAAGTTATTAATTATAACTTTTTTATAATTATCTTTGAGTTTATCTTTATTAATAATCTTATTATAAAGTAAAATAAAAGTGATGCTATTTTTGAATATTAAATAATTTTTTAAACATGCAAAATAATCTTTAGATTATAATATTTTTATCTAAATGCATTTAATAAATATAAATTGATGATATTAATGATTTATGACTATAATAATATATTACAATTATATAATAGTTAACTATTTCTATTTATTTATATAATTAAAATAAAAAGTTGTTATTTTATTTATTTATTTTAATTTAAATAGTTTTTTTTTTCTAAAATATATAATAATAGAAAAATATAAAAAATTAACTACTGAATAATACAGAAACATAATTTGTTATTATAAATATAATAATAACTATTGAACTATATTATAAATTGTTAATTACAAATTAGCAACTATTTATAAATTTATTAAAAATTTTTAATGATATAGGATTGATTGAATTAATATTTTATTTCTAATTATTTATCTTTAATTATGATTTCTGATCATAATTAAATTAAATAATATATAATAATTAGAGTTCTGAATGAGTCGAATCGAGTTTAAAGACCAACTCTATTCGACTCATTTTTTTCAAGTTGAGTCGAGTCAAATTTATTTTATAAAATTTTTCGATTTGATTTGATTTGAGTTATATAAATTTT